TTGTTTGGTGGGCCTGGGCTGGATTCCAACCCGCCAGCTCAGGTGTATGTGGCTGGCACCTTAGCCACTTGAGCTACAGGCGCCAAACAGAGAATCACCATTCTCTTCGGAATAGTTTAGGTATGAGGAGAGAAAGGAATAACCAAACTCAACTTCTTTGTTCTGAGGATTTCGTGATCCCCTTCTCCCAGATGTCATCTCCCTGTAGTTTTAGGAGACTTCATGGAGATGGCCCAATTCTATGTACAGGAAGAATAAAGTTAGGGATGGAGAAAGAACCTCCCCCAACATTCTCCAGAACACCTTTCGGATCACAGTGTCTGAAATTTATCAGTTTTCCATATGAATTAAAAATGTGGAACCTCCTCTTTATCATGCTAAGAATGGCCTTCTCAATAACGACTGCTCACTGCCTCTCGAATTTTATCACAATTTATCAGATTATAAATTGTCACTCATCAAAGCCCGAGGGAATGGGACATTGAGCAGATATGTTTTGGTGAGGAAAAAAGCAAAAATAGTTTAGAATATAGGTGGGAAAAGGGGGGGAATATAAAACTCAGACATTCATTGAATACATATTTGGTGTGTGGCATGAGGTCTGGCACCTGCAGCCAGAAAAGGGACGCAGTCTCTGTCCTTTGTCTGGTGGGCACACTAGGAATTAATTGAATGACCACCATAACACATGGACAATTGAGATGGGGCCTTTGGTCCCCCACAGGAGAAAAAAGAAAAGCTGGAGGGATGCTGAGAGTAAACCACTGGAAGAGAAGCGAACAACAGACACTTCTGGCCGGGCGTGCGCTGCAATCTGATGGTTACGCCTTAGTTACATGAAGTTAGTTCATTTCAGGAATGACGGGGATTACAAGATTTGCAAACAGTTCAGTCAAGCCCTGACTTAAATAGTTGTAATGCTATTAAGATTCCTGGAGCCCGTGTCAGCTCTTCCTGCTGTTTAGAAAACATCAAAGCTCACCTCCCTGGCGCTCTGAACAGTACACTAAACCAAGGTTTGTTTTCATCTCAGCGTTTGCTAAGCTGCTTTGGTGTTTCACAAAATAGCTCTGCCCAGGGATGAAATGCAAGGTTATTACACCCCAGCATTGTTCCGAGGCTGTGGGAGTAGGGTGGCAGAGCGCCAGCCACTACCCGGTCCTCTCCCTGGTGATTAAGGAGGATTAGTGGAAAGTGTGTAAAATGAGCCCTGGTTACATTTGCAAAAATAAAACCCTCCAAACCCCAAGCGCCGTGCAGCCCTTACACCCAGGCACACAGCGACTCTGCACTTGCTCAGGGATGTGACAGGCTGGTGTCTGCACTCGTGAGGGATGTTGAGGAAAGAGTGGTCTTTTAAAAGGAAGGGCCAGGTCTTTAGAGGTGAGCCCATCTGTGTATGAAAAGAATGGTCTTGCTATCATAAAATGTCTTTTTTTTTTTTAAATTTTAGATTAATGCAAGGGCACATTAGGTTACATTGAATTAGGTTACATTGTGTTTGTTAGGCGAAGTCCAAGTTGTATGTAGTTGAGCCCTTCACCCAGGAGATATGCCTGTTAGGTGAGAGCTTACTGATCAGTCCCCTCCCTCCTCCACTCAAATTTAATTGTGTTTTTCTCTCATGTGGGCAGCTAGTTCATTTCCTGGCTTCATATTAGTATTGAGTACATTGGATATTTGCTTTCCCATTTTTTTTTTTAACAGTTTTTCTGTACTCAAAAAAACTTGTATAGGTGTGTACCACCACACTCAGCTAATTTTTTAGCTTTGCTGCCCTCGGTGGCATCACACAGCTCATAGCAACCTCCAAATTCTGGGCTTAGGTGATTCTCTTGCCTCAGCCTCCCCAGTAGCTGGGACTATAGGCGCCCGCCACAGTGCCCAGCTATTTTTTGTTGCAATTTGGTCGGGGCCAGGTTTGAACTCACCACCCTCAGGATATGGGGCCAGTGCCCTACCCACTGAGCCACAGGCACTGCCCTGCTTTTCCATTTTTGTGATGCTTTACTAAGGAGAATGTTCTCCAACTCCATCCAGGTTAATACAAAAGATGTAAAGTCTCCATCTTTTTATGGCCAAATAGTATTCCATTGGCATATATATACCAGTTTATTAATCCATTCATGGACTGATGGGCACTTGGATTGATTCCACATCTTGGCAATTGTAAATTGAGCTGTGATGAACATTGTAGTGCAAGCGTCCTTGTGGTAATGTCCTTGTTTTTCTTCTTGGTAGATACCTAATAATGGGATTGCAGGATCAAATGGGAAGTCTACTTTTAACTCTTTGAGGATTCTCCATGCTTCTTCCGAAAGAGGCTGTGTTAGTTTGCAATCCCACCAGCCGTGTAAAAGTGTTTCCTTTTCTCCACATCCACGCCAGCATCTGCAACTTTGGGACGTTGTGATGTGGGCTATTCTCAAGTGGGGTTAGGCAATATCTCAGGGTGATTTTGATTTGCATTTCTCTGATGATTAGAAACAATGAACATTTTTTCATGTGTTTTTGACCATTCAACAGATATGTCTTTTCCAAAGAGGAGAGATCAGAGGGCTCTGCAGCTCCTGGGAACCTGAACCAGACCCCAACTTCACAGAGAGGTCATTTTTTGAGATATGATCTTTTGGGACTCAGACCAAATTCAGTTATAAATGATGAATATAGATCTAGGACAGTCCTATTTACTTATTTATTTTGAGATAGTCTTCCTCTCTGTGGAATAGTGGCCTTCCTGGGTAGAGTACCATGATGTCATCATAGCTCAAAGAAACCTCAAACTCCTGGCCTCAAATGATCCTCTTGCCTCACCCTCCTGAGCCGCTGGGACTATAGGTGTGTACCACCACACTCAGCTAATTTTTTGTGTATTTTTTTTTTTTTAAATAGAGGCCGAGACTCTCACTCTTGCCCAGGCTGGTCTCCAGCTCCTGAGCTCAAGCAATTCACCTGCCTCAGCCTCTCAGAGTGCTAAGATCACAGATGTGAGCCACCGTGCGTGGCCCAGACATTTAAGTTCATAACATAGACACTAATTCCAAGTATATTGTTGTGAGTTAAATAGAATCGATCAATTTAGCATCACTCTATATTCTGTGGGTATGTACATTCTAACTTAGAGCTATGACATGAGGTGTCTACCTCCCTGGTCCCCCTTTCCTCTCCATCACACTTGCAAGTGGGTGGGGGACACCTCCTAATCCTCTGCCCCACTACGTACATGATGACTGGTTTCTTGACGAGTGTCCCCTGTTGCCCTCACCTAAGAGGAGATTTCGGTGGCTGGGGAGATTTTCCCAGCTCTAGGGTAATGAAGGCATAGATTCGTTCTCTCTATGGGGCAGAACTTGGGCTTGCAGGTGAGGTTCTAAGAAGCCATTGTAGACTTGATGTGAAGACAGGCTGGTCGATCGGTGCTAAGAGGAACCATGTCTCGGTCAGTCCCCAGCCAACACAGTGGCTTCCTCTGAGGAGACACCTGCAGACACTTGCATGAGCCCAGGGACTGGAGCGCTCATAGTGGGGCAGACATGCTTTGCACAACGGGACGTGCCCCTCACTCAGTGTCTTCACGCCTGAGGACCACTGAGCTGCTCTGGAAGGGCACTCTGCTAAGAAAGTGATTGTATTTGATGGATTGTCCATTGTAGACCAGGCGCAGGGGTGGCTTGCTTCTGGTGTATTATTTCTAAGCCTCACAGTGACTGTCAGATGTGATCATCTCCTGTGGCACAGATGGGGAAACAAGGCTGAAAAGAATCACCTAGTTAACGATGCCTGAGCTAGAACTTAAACTCAGATCTGCCTAATTTTCCTTTATTGTTTTATATTTTCACACATAGTCAACTCATTTCTATACTAAGAGTGGAAAATGGCACGAGTTACCTACATGTCAGGGTCACCCACGTAAGGTTCATTTTTCACTGGGAATGTAATGTGAACATCGTATGTGCCTTTCCTATGTTCAGCCCCCCAGACATGTTAGAAATAGGAAGTCGGTGAGGCCCAAATGTGTGTGTGTTGTGAGTGAGCGTACAGAAGAACTGGGGTGCTGGGTGGGTGGAGAGAGAGGACAAGAAGGGCAGGGTCCAAATGCAAGAACTATTGGCACCTCTGAAAAGGGGCAGTTCCCCCGTCAGGGACCCAACACCATGATCCTTTGAGATGGCATAGCCCTGTGTCCAAAAGAAGAAAGGCAAGATTCAGATAGACACCAGATTGGCTACTGAGAGGTTTAAAATAGAAAATGGAGAGACCTTTGGGTGTCTTAAATTTTAGGCATGTTAAAATATTCAGCTCTTCTTTTCGCACTGTCTCTTATTCTCCCACAGCTTTTTCATTTTCGAATCACTGACCATATTTCTTTCTGGGCTGGTGGGAAATTCAGAATTCCTCATTTGTATTTCACCTTTAAAAGTTCTGTCAGTTGAAAGGAAATGCAGAGATTCTGAGACTGTCACCTTCCTGATTTTAAGGTTATGAACACCTGCATGATTGCATATTCATCAGCCTTCCTTAGCAAAAAGCATCAGTGGGCTCTGCAGGAGGCCTTCCTACTGTGTCTCTGCCTGAGCCAGTCACCCCCACCAGGTCGGGATGAGCAGGACATGTCACCTTCTTCCCTGAGGAAGGCTCAAGCCCACCGGGGCAGTCCCTGGGCCCAGCCTGGCAGCATGGCAGTCTGGGCGGGTGGGAGATTACAGTCTCAGAACGAGGGAGGCATCCCTGACCATGTGGTCTGAGGATGCCAGCAGCTCTGTCGGCCCAAGGGAGTGAGAGCTGATCTTGTGTTGTTGTTTGCAGCCTCCTGCTTGGTGGACTTGGAGAGGCCTTGCTGGTTTTCTCAGAGCAGAGGGGCTCCTGAAGAAGACAGTCAGGAAAAGGAGACCCCCAGCCCTGGTTGACACTGGGGATCAAAGCTCTGGCCTCATGGCTCCTTTTTGAGTGTCTCAGAAAGAGGAACACAGGACAGTGATGCCAGGTGGGCAGCACCATCAACTTGTTCCTGCCCTGACTCAGCCGAATGCACTGGTGATAATGAGGAGAGCACTTCCTAGAGTCGGGGTCATGCCTTCCCATTCCGACACCCTTCCTCAACCATCTTGTGGGCGTGGCTCTGCTCACCTGGACTGGACCTGCAGGCCTCTGGATACCAGGCGCCCTCCACCACTTAACACTGCTGTTAAGTGGCCCTGAAGTGTTTTGTTGTATTTTTCTTTTCATTAAAAAATTGTTTTTTACTATTATTATTATTATTATTTCAAAATTGGGTCTTACTCTGTTGCCCAGGCTGGAGTGCAAGTAGCAGGATCATAGCTCACTGCAACGTTGAATTCCCGAATAGCTGGGACAGCAGGCATGGAGAGATGGGGTCTCACCTTGTTGCCCAGGCTGGTCTCAAACTCCTGGCCTCAAATGATCCTCCTACCTTGGCCTCCCAAAGAGCCGGGATTGCAGGCATGAGCCACTGTGCTCAGCCTTATTTTTGTTTTTAAATTGACAGATAAAATGCTATGTATTTATCATGTAAAGTATAATGTTTTGAAGTGCGTGTACTTTGTGGAATGGTTAAATCTAGCTAATTAACAAATGTTACTACCTCACATAGTTATTTCTGTGGTGAGGTTTTGTACTTTTTGTTTTGTTCTATATTTTTACATCTTTAGAGTCTCTGGGGACATCCTTCCCTTGCTCTCCCTTGCCTGGAGCTCACCCCCACCTGTGTACAAGCACATAGACACTATGAGGGCATCCATTTGGGGCAGGGGCAGAGGATGGAGGCTGAGTGGGAATTTTGGACCTGCCTCTAAACTGCTCTGGGTTCTTGTGAACTTGGCAGGATGTATACTATGTTAAGTTCTGCACACACTTTTTCATCCACTATTAGGTTAAGCTGGTAGTAAATGACCACCAGAGGGAAGATGGTTTATAAGCACCAATGGATGTCATTGCTGGGCAGGTGAAAAATACAAAAATATAACACACACACACGGTTATGTTTATATTCCTTAATGATTTTAATCCATTTAATTATTTTTTATCTCAGAGGAGGTTTCAAATCATTAAACACTGAAGTATATTTTTTCAGACCAGATTAAAAATTAGATTAAGACCTACAAAGGCCAGTGACTCATGTATGAAATTTTAGCACTTTGGAAGGCTAAGGCAGAAGGATTGCTTGATCCCAGGAGTTTAAAGTTGCAGGGAACTGATAATGCCATGACACTCTACCCAGGGTGACAGAGTGACACGTGTCTCAAACAAACAAACAAAGCCTATACTTGCCTCTGTAAGTGTCAAAGGAAAGGAATTTACATGAAGTGGTTATTTGATTCTGAATCCCCCAAGAAAGCTGAAGAAAATAATACTAACTCAATAAATGTTTCTGCTAAATAATCGGTATTATGTCTAATAAATAATCGGTTTTTCAAATATATTACTACTTTGTCAGAGAGTTGGTCATTTTGAGGTGACCAGCGAGTTCCCCAAGCAGAAAGCCAGGCCCTGTAGTGTCAGATGCCCACATCCCTGGTGGAGATTCCTTCACCATCCAGGAGATGCACAATAAACATGCTCAGCCCTGAGAAGAGTAAAGTCAAGTGAGTTAGTGACCTAGTTCCTGCATTTCTTCTCCAGCTTGTCAAGAAAAGAAAAAGAAAATGAAACAAACAGGAAAGGATTAGTGTATTTGGAACTTGAGTACCTTCAATTCATTCTCTTGTCTTTTCCTGGTCTCTGCTTGTCATTTAAGGTAAAAATCTTAAGAGTGACCTTGACACATACATGATTTTCAACTTGTTTTTCTTCTTCATGTAGGATATCAAACTTTCTGTAGATTGAAGATCAAATAGTTTTGTTTGTTTTTTTTGAGACCGAGACTCATTTTGTCACCCTGAGTAGAGTGCTGTGGCATCGTATCTCACAGCAGTCTCAAACTCTTGGACTCATGCAGTTCTCTTGTCTCAGCCTCTCAAGTAGCTGGGACTGCAGGTGCCCGCCATGCCCAGTTAGTTTTTTCTATTTTTAGTAGAGATGGTATCTCACTCTTGCTCAGGCTAGTCTCGTACTCCTGAGCTCAAGAGATCTATCTGCTGCAGACTCCTAGGGTGCTAGGATTAAAGGTGTGAGCCACTGAACTTGGCATCAAATAGAATACTCTTTTTTTTTTTGAGACAGTGCCTCAAGCTGTCCCCCTGGGTAGAGTGC